GAGATCGTGTATAAATCCGTGAATACTTTGTTGTGAACGGTCGAAGTCGGTTGATTCATACATAGAATTAAAGTTAATAATGAGATAGATGAAATTATTTTTTATTTGATTAATTTAGGATGATTACAAGTGGTAGTATCAATTTTAAAGATTTTCAACTATTTGACAATGAATCTTTAAATACCCTGTAATCTTTGGTGCTCAAACCTATAAACTCTAGGGACAGTGGTAGAACCACGTGATGGGGGTGTGGAAGGGGGACGTGACCCACCCAAATTTTATGATTTAATTGTTTTTTAAGTTTTGAAAGTTTTGCAACTATTAAAATTAAGTATGGATCCCTCTCAAAATTTTCTAGTTTAATTATTTTTAATACATTATCGGTTAAAGTTAAATGAAATTAAGCCTTGTCTTTAATTTTTTCTGATTTAATTACTTTTTAGGACATTATCTTCTATTTTTTATGATTTAATTCCTGTTGTTAGTTTCAAAGATAAACAACTTGATCCTTCCTATAATTTCATCATAATTTCACCACTGTCTAGGGATGCAATTATATAATTTTAAAATTAATAGAGATTTAATAAATAATTAATCTTTAATTTGATAAGAAATAAAGTTTAATTTTATAAATATTTCAACTATCATATACTAAAAATAATAGGCAAAAAGGCATGAATCTCTTATACTTTTAAAAAACACAATGTGACTCTCGTATTAATTTTTTCTCAATGTGACCTTCCAACTTAGAAAACAAACTCAATGTTACCCTTTGATCAATGTTTTCCATCGTTGATCATTATAATACTGACGTGGCAGTTCACAATGTTAACATGGCGATCCACGGTACTAATATGACAGTCTATGGTGGCTGGTAACGTGGCAGATGACATGACAGATGGGCTAAATTGATTTTTGATTTTGTTCGAGGGCCAAATTTATTTTTTAAAAGTTCAAGGGCTTATTTGATTTTTTTAAAAAAAAAATATTTTAAATTATAAATATAAAAATTATTCAAATATACAAAAAGATCAATACAAAAATACTAAAAATAAAAATCAAATTACTGAAAAATCGAAATACATATTAAAAATACTAAAACTATTATAATTTTAAAAAATGAATATATATAATAGATTATAAAATAATTACTTACAAATTATTAAAAAAATTAAAAAATATCTTTAAAAAGATATATTAAACATAACATATACATGTAACATATAATATATATATAATATATTATCAACACTTATATAAAGTTTTCTTATTGAATAAATTGAGAATTAAAAAATTTAAATTAACGAGACTTATCATTTTTAGATTAGTTGAAACTTATTACATTTTCTAATTATCTTTTTATAAGTCTCAACTAATTGAAAAGATAATTATATAAAGTTTTGATATAAAATATAATTAGAAAACATAATAAGTTTAAACAAATCTAAAATTTGTAAGTCTCAACTAATTTAAATCTTGCAAGTTTCGATTAATCGAGTAAAAATACTTTGTATAAGTGTTGATGATATGTGTCATAACCATTTAAAAAAATAACTTTTAAAATAATTATGAATTTATATTAAAAAATTTGGATGTTTGTTTAATTTGAAATTTGGAGTCACGATTGACTTTTGAGTTAGGTAGGTCAAATACCTAAAAATGTTTTTATAAAAAAATTTTAAGAAAAATGATTTTAAAGACGAAAATTAGTTTGTGTATTACTAGAAATTCATTTTTTATGATTTGGGAGTCGGTTACTCATGGGGAAAGTTGAGCACTCCCATAACACCCAAAATTAATACCTTCGATTATATGTTGTCTAAAATGATGGAATTTTACAAATTTGAACTCAAAATTTTTGTTACTACCGTTTTATTTCTATGAATTAAAGAAAGTGGGTGAATATATTTTTTAACACACTTGACTAGATAAAAAATGATTTAATTCACTCGGTTTTATTTAAAAATGATGTCCCCTTACTACAAATTCCATTAACCCACGACGCAAGACAATATTATCTTCGAATATTTTTTAAAAAAAAAAGAGAAAACAAATACATGATTTATGAATATAGTAGTAATAAATGACATATACATGATTGATGAATATCAACGTCATATGACAAATAAATAAATAAAATAAAATAACGAAATACTCAAATAAATAAAAAACACAATAAATATTTATATTTATTAAAATACTTTCATTATATGAAAAATAAATATGCATAAATAACTTTATTTAAAATGAAATACATCTTATATCCTTTTAAAAACCATAAATTATAAATAAATATTGAATAATCATAAAATATCAATTTTATTCGAATAACCCTTGAAAGAGCACTATAGATGTTTTTGAGATCTTCCATAGGTTAGTCGAACAATTGAAGATTTTATAAATATCCAAAATATTAAACAGACCACCTTATTAAAAATATAATGCGCATATATTCAAGTATTAAAAAGTTGTCTTTAATAAAATATATGTACATAAATATAAAAAGGTAAAAATGTATTAAATAACTATCTACATATATACATATAAGTATAAGGACTAAAATGAATAAATAATACATTCATGGGATAATAAACACTATCTAAGGACCATATCAAACAAAAGAAAAAAAAGGGGATAATAATGTAATAATAACCTAGAAGTATACCAGAATAGTAGGCCTGTAAACGAACCGAACGCACACGAACGGATGTATGTTCATGTTCGTACATTTAATAAATAAGCGAACATAAACGAACACGAACATAAACGAACACGAACATAAACGAACAAATTTTTTTTTTGTTCATGTTCGTTCATTAAGGAATATAACTTGTTCATGTTCGTTCATTTAATAAATAAACGAACACAAACATAAACGAACACGAACATAAATGAACACGAACATAAACGTTGGAGACCCTACCTTCCATTGTCTTTCATGAAAAATAGTCGACAATGCAAATCAACCAAATCTACAGTGATAATAGCGTAAGAGCTGATTAGCAGTGATGGAATGTTTGAAGATATCAGATATTTCGATCAATCTTTTAAAGATATTAAATGATTCATACAACTTTAGAGTTAATTTGTTCGAACACGACAAAAGCATACATAAATCATAAGTAAGCTATATGAATATAATAAAGTCTTAAAGTTAATTTGTTCAACAAAACAATCTTCTTGAAATCCAAACAACTTCAATAATATTCGTAACATATTCAACTTGCATTCATAATCAGTCGTTAATTCATCATCCATCCGGATCAAAATCAAACAAATAAAATTATATTAAATTAAAGGAGTTATAACAAAAGATGAAAAATATACTAAATTAGCGAGGTTATACCAATTCATTCATCCTCATTTTCAAGGAATCTCAACATGTATGATATCTTCGTTTTGCTACAACAAATCAAAAAACCAAAAAATATATTAGTCATTGTAAAACCAAATTCAATAAAACTTAAAACATAAAAATACATTGTTTTTATTTTTCTCCAACCCATAGTATTGACGATACCAATCAGCTCCACAAACAAGCATATCTACCATCTTAGTTCCTAAAGAGGATCGATGCGGATCAATAACCCTCCCACCAGCACTGAAAGCAGATTCAGAAGCAACAGTAGTGACCGGAATTGCCAATATGTCAGCAACCATTTTTGACAAAATGTTAAATTTAATATTGTTTTCCTTCCACCATCCTAGTCCACAGTCTTCATCTTTCCCAAGCCCTGAACCTTCCTACCATGCGAGTCCCTCATCTTCCTTATGCCCGAGTCTGACTCGTTTCAATTCAAATACCTCGACTCACCTCATTCCATTCCTCCGCAACATTGCAGCCATATCCAGCAGCGCTCCACTGACCACGCCACTTTCTTCCCCCACTAGAGGATATAAGCGTAAATCTGACTGGGACTCCCTAAGGGCAACTCTAACGCGGATGACTGGGCAACGAGGGGTGGGCTGGAGAAGACCGACTGGTCGAATGCACCGTTCATAGCGGCATACAAGGGGTTCCACATCGTTCAAGATGCCACAAAAAATCCCTAAATTCACACCCCAAAATTAACAGACCAAAAAAAAAATTCAAATTATTTACCTTATGAAATCACGTTCAAGAAGGGTTGAGAATCAAGAACAGATAAACGAAAATTGTGGAGGGTGGGGAGAGTTGAGAATCAAGAACAGATGAATGACGGGTTGGAGAAGAGTTGAGAAAATATTGTTTTTAGATTTAGGGTTTTTTGTATTACCGCTTAATCAGGCTGTAAAATTGGGTTAATTATGAGTTGGTCATCAAAATATCATATTCATTAATATTTTTAAGATACATACAAATTGGTCACCAAAATTGATTTAAGAATATTAGGTTAAACATAAATGAACGCACATAAACGAACATAACTAAACGCATATAAACGAACATAACCGAACGTTCATGAACGTAAATGAACGAACGAGACCTATATTCATGTTCGTTCATTTAATTAAACGAACACAAAATCTTGTTCATGTTCGTTCATTTAATAAATAAACGCACATAAACGAACTTCCCGCCGCACGGTTCATGAACGGTTCGCTGAACGTTCAGTTCATTTACAGGCCTACAGAATAGGGACTAAAATCAAACTAAAGATAAATCTTAAAACTAAAGTGAAAATAAAACATTAAACAACCTAAAACAAAAATGAAGTACTAAAAATGAATAAATAAGAAACCTACATTACCTAAACATAAATAAAATGAAATAAAATGGCCAAAATCAGAATATCTACATAAATTTATTAACAATGTAAAATAAGGACTAAATAAAAGGATAGAAACTAATATGCACGAAATAAAAGAAAATAAATTTTATTGGATGACCAAATTAGGAATATCATAAAAGATAAGAGTCCTCTAGCATAATAAACCCCCAATCCTATAACATGAATTATTTTGGTGAAAACACGCTGCTCACCACGTTTAAAATGTTACAATGTGCCCTATTTTCTATTTTCACCACCGCTCAACACGAGAGATAAGTAGTCTCTCTTTGGAATCCTTTTCATCTAGGGTTTCCAGATCAACAACCCAAAAAATGAAATCGGAAACACTCATTTCCCAAGTTTATGTTCTAGATCTAGAAGTTTTAAGCAGTTACCTTCCACGTCGAAGGATTTCTCAGCTCCGACGAAGAAACGACTGTGGTTTTCTCGGGAAAGGTAAGGTTTCTAAGCTTTTTCCCTTATCTCGATGGTTATTTTTGTTGATTTTCTGTGGATTTTTTCGGCTCTGTTGGTTCGTTTTTGTTTTTTGGTTCTTCTTGTTCGAATGGTTCTATCCCTGGTTTTCGATTTTTTTAATGGTTGCTCAAAATCCTCTGATTTAGGTTTTTTTAGTTTTCGATCTCTCTTTTTTTTTGTTCGAATGCTCTAAAGATGCTCCTTTTTTCCCTATTTTTATATTGATTTTTTTGTTCGAATCTATTTTTTTAACTCCACTGCTCTTTCCTCTTTTTTTAGTCTCTGATTTTTTTCGATTGATGGATCCCATTCTCTCTTTGTTGCATGTGATTAATATGGAGGGTGACGGTGACGGATTCCTTGCCCACTCGGAAGGCGACGACGGCGCAGTACCTTGCTAGGGCTCAAAACCCTATGTTCATTTGGTTGAATCTGAGCCATCAGATCGCCTTCAGATCCTACGATCAAGGTACTGGCGGCACTAGAAGGGTTTAGAAAACCCTAATTGTGATGGGCTCCACAACTAGGCCTTGGATCTTGGGCTTTAGGTTTAAAATAGTTTAGGCTTCAAATTTGGGTTTGTTTTGTATTTTGTGATTGAGTTTTGGTAATATTTGAGTTGTAACATGAAAAATAAAATATGTAAATGATATTAGTATATATATTTTATTTCTAAGTATTATATATGAATTTGATATTTAATAATAGTAAATGATCAAACATAATAAACCCCTAAACTAATAACACTAATTAAAGTAAACAAGTGATATGTAAAAAAATACTATTATTAACAAAAAAAAATATTGAATTGGAATTCAGACAAGATTTAATGTTTACAATATGTCTATATATATATATATATATTTAATTTTTTTAATAATTTATAAGTTATTATTTTATAATCTATGATATGTATTTAAAAAATTTTAATTTTTTATAATAGGTTTTGTATTTTTTAGTATAAACATTTATTTTTTTAGTAATTTAATTTTTGTTTTTAGTATTTATATTTAATTTTTTTTGAATATTTGAATAATTTATATTTAAAATTTAAAATAATTTTTAATTTTAAAAATAATTAAAAAAGCGAATTAAAAAAAAAAACAATAATCCTCTAACAAAACCAAAAGCTATTTTAGCTCATCTACAATGTCATTCGTTACATCATCGACCATCATAGATAACCATGTTAGTATTGTTGACCCTCATATCAATACTGTAGTAGTTAACAACAAAAAAACATTGGTTAAATTATTATATTAGATTTGTTTTATAAGTTAGAGAGTCATATTGAGAGAATAAATAATACAAGAATCATATTATTTTTTAAAGTATAGGGACATATGAATTCTTTTTATCTTAAAATTTAAAACAACTTTTACTTTTTAAACCAAAAAACCAATTTAATCAATTTGTCATATCATTTTTCACGTAATTAGTTGTAATGGATTGTGATATCAGCATCATGGACCACCACGTCAATACTATAACGATCAATGATGAAAAACATTGGTCAAATGATCACATTAAATTTATTTTCTGAGTTAGTGGGCCACATTAAAAAAATACATAGACCATATTGATTTTTTCTAAAGTAAATGGGTCTTTTATTCCTTTTTGCCAAATATGAAAAATGAGATAGGATATCCCTCCCACTTCCGTACTTTGAGTTTAAGCTTTCTCAATTTATAATGTACCTTAAAAAATTATCTTTTAACACAAATATGAAAAGAAAACTATTAAATAATGCAAGTAGTGAAAAGATGATACGAAAGGAAATTAATTATTCAAGGCAATAGGATAATAGTAATGGTAAAAATAACAATATAAATAGAATACTCAAATAAATAAAAATATTATTAGATAGATCAGATATCAAATAAACAAAGAATTTAATTTATTAATTCAAACTATTATTTCATATTGCTTAAGTAAAAATAGAATAATCTAAAGGTGGTAATCGAGTAGTTCAAATCGGATATGGACCATGTCAATTTAGGTGAGGTTAATTTGAATTTGGATTGTATTATGTTTAAGTTCGATTTAGGTTGAATGGGATATATTCAAATTTAGTTCGGGTCTATAGTAAGTTGAGTCGAGTCGTGTATTAAATTAGGTCATTATCAATTCAAGTCAAAATTGTAACATTCTAAATCAGGGTCAGTGATTAAATTGCAAATTGTGAAAGTTTTGTGTTCAATTTCAAAATAAGTTAAAAGTTCAGGGATTTAATTGGAGAATTTTAATGTTGGATTTAATAGTAAAGTTGAAAGTAACAAGGTAGTATGGTCTTTTCTAAGAGAAGATTTTTATTCTCTCTCTTTAAGGGATATAAAAACATGGGAAATGAGATAAATGAATCCAGAGTCTTCTTCTTCAGCCTTCTTCTTCTCTTTGTAAACCTCAGTTAAAGGTGAGTATAATTTCAGCTATTTAATTCTTGGATTTATAAGTTGTTTTTGATTCTTTGGGTGTTATATAAGCTTAAGGAAAGCTTATATAAGCTTTAAACATCAAGAAGAGAGAATTACAAAGGAAATTATATTAAGGGTGTAGAAATGAATTGTTAGAATAAAGAGGTTTTTGAAGTCCTAATTATGAATTTGACTTGTCATCAGTGGAATTAAGAAGTATGAAGTGTTAGAATTAGAATTAGAACACATTGAAAATTTGGTTTGATTCTTGAATTCTATGTAGATGATAGGATTTTGAGGTTAAGGATGTAATAAATGAGAATAAATGGGTCTAAGTATGTGTATGTGAGTTAGGAATATGAAAGAAGATGAAATATAAAGTATTTGAGTAGAAATGAAGTGATTTTCGGGCTTAAAAGTGAATTCTGGGCAAAGGGCTATCGATACCCATACAAGTATCGATACCTCAAGAGTACAATTCAGTAAGATATTCAAAGGGTACTGATACATAGGCAATGTATCGATACCCCCTTGAAACAAAAACTTTCGAATGTAATTTGTGTACCGATACATAGGCAGTGTATCAATATATTAGTTAAGGGATATATCGATACCCTATAGAGTGTACCGATACCCTTGCAAGAGAAATTGAGATTTACTCTTTATTATAACTTAAGAAATCAAGGATCGAATCATAGTATTTGGAATGTTGATATGTATACATGATTGTGTAGATATCGATCGAGAGCAACATCCGGACAAGTTTACAATTGATAGTCATCGAGATAAGATAAGAAAGTGGTATTGACTAGTGAGGCCAGATAAGTGCATAGTAGTTATTATATGATGATGAATGTAAATAAGACTTGTGATAAGTTTATTTCCTATATTAGAATGCATAAATCCATGACTGTAAGAATGTGTTTGATATGAATATATATGATGTACGCTATTGGGTATGTTATATAATTATTGTGAATACAGGTTGTGTGAATATGATATAAACCATGTGATATTGAACTATGTGACTATGTATAAATGATATAAGTTATATGATTTTAAGGTATGTGAATACATGTTTAGGAGATAAATTATGTAATAATAAGAGAATATGATAAAAGTGAGTTCATAAGAATTAATATGAACTAGGTAAGCAAATGTAAATGTTATATAAATAATAGGAACTAGAGTTGGAAAATTACATATTTGTGTGATCATTTATGTAAATTAGTATAATAGAATTGTATGATTAAATGAAAAGTGAGATCAGGTAGACAAGATTGACCTATAGAAGGATAGGAGAATAGTATATTAATTAGGATACTTGAACATAAATGATGATACGAACTTATAAGATAAGCTATAAGGAAAAGATTCATGTGCTTAAATAAAATTATGACATATGGGTTATATGAAATTGAACTAAGTAAATAGATTAGATTAATATATATAAATGAAATAATATAAGTGATATGTGTTTATAAGTATGACATAGGTTACATGATATAGGTAAATATAAGAGGATGAAGGTTAAACTATATGAGATTATATAAGTTATTATATACATATATGAAATATGCTATTAAACATGACATATATGATTATGAGAAGAAGAATATAAACCATGTGAATACAAGTATAGGTAAAATGATATATGTATATATATGACTATGAGTTGGAAAAATGTTATATAATTTATATCAGGATAAGTTATGAGACTACATGTGAAATGAAATGAGTACATATTTATGTGATGAGAGGGTGAACTATATGAACATGTGAATATATGTCTATGAGAAGACATAATAATAAGATATAAGCAATGTGATAAGAAATGTTAAATGACGTGAAAAGTTGATATAAGCTGTGTAAAAGTGATCTACGTGATTATATGTATATGTGATCCAAGTTATGTGACATAAGATACGTGAAATGTGAAAGTGAATTATGTGCCTATGTGAATAGGTGAAATGACATAAATAATAATTCCCATGTTATGTGTCATGAGAGCTAGGGATATAGTTGGCATGCCAAGAGTCGAGAGTCTATGTGGTCCTTCGGGACATATATGTATCCTTTGGAACATCTATGAGGTCCTTGAGACACATACTTGGTCCTTAGAATATGTATATGATTCTTAAGGAATTTTTATGTGGTCCTTAGGGATATTTTATATGGCACTTTGGTGCATTTCTACGCTGTAACATCCCAAACTATGGGTTAGTGACTAAATTATAAAACTTCAGAATTTGGTGATTTAAAGTAGGATAATTGAATAGTTATATGACTTATTGGGACATATGTCATGAATGATTGTTAGTAATTATTAAAGGAAATAAAGGGAAAATGGTCATTTAACCAATAAATGAATTAAAAGGGTGATAAGGATGAGATATATACACGTGAAGATCGGGAAGAGGGAAACAAAGTTCAAGAGTTCTCTTTATTCTTCTCATTTCTTCTCCATCCGTGAGCTTCAAGAGTAAAAGGTGAGTTCCTTAATTAGTTGATTATTTTTTGAATTAAAGGTTGGTTTATGATTCTTAGGTGATACTTTAGCTTAAATTAAGTTAAAGTTGTATTATAATCAAAAGATAAAGAAGTTATGAGAGATTAAAGAGAAAAGGTTTTTAAATGAATTTCTGGAAAAGAGTTGATAAGTTAAATTTGAAACTAAATTTGACTTGTCATCAGCTTAATTAAGAGATATGAAGTAATAGAATTGAATTTAGAACATATTGAAAATTTGGTATGATTATTGATTTCTATATGGAGAAAGGAGTTTTCAGGTTTAAGATGTGGTAAATGAGTAGGAATTAGTATAAGTATGTGTACTTGAGTTAATAATATGAAAATGAATGAAAAATGAAGTATTGAAGCTGAAATGAGTGGAATTTCGTGCTCAAAATGAAATTTTGGGCTAGGGTGTATCGGTACCCATTCAACAGGTACCGATACATCAGGAGTAAAATACAAAAATTGTTCAAAGGGTACTGATACCTTCAGGAGTGTATCGATACCCCTTGAAATGGAAAATTTTCGAGTGTAATTTGGGTATCGATACCTAGGTAGGGTATCGATACTTAGGTAGTATATCGATGGCCCCTTAAGATGAATACCTAGACAGTGTATCGATACCTCAGTTATGGGGTGTACCGATACCCTATAGTGGGTACCGATACCTATTATAAATAAGAATGAAATTCATCATTCCTTTAGTTTAATAAATGAAAGATTAGAGTATATC